GAGTCGAAACCACCGATTGACCTTGGCAAGTCGATGCATACTTCATGCAAAAAGCAGCCACATAGGTGACACGCGCGGTACAGAGAGGCGTGACTTCGACAAAAATATGCACAGTGTTGGAGAAGGCTACAGATCGCGACTCTTCTATGCATATTTTCTATATTTCAACAAAGTCGTTCGCTGCGTAAGCTGACGTGTAATTAACTTTCGTTCTACAGACATACTGTCAACAAGCGTCTCGCTCGACAAGCGAGAACATGACACGAATGTTCTTTCAAACCGAATATACGTCGTCCCGCGGTCAAGAAGAGCGACTGCTGCGATATTGAAGCATAGGAAATGTCGATAATACGAAGGCGTCTCGTGCAGCTCCTTGCGGGACACTACCGGTTTTCGGATACGGCAGCACCCGATGAGGTCCTGCAGGGATACGAATGAGAGAGTGGCGTCAATTTTGGTGCGACGACTCGGACGCCGTGCGACGCGCCAATGCCACCGGCAGCGGACATCGAGCACGACCGGACGAGCGAGACCAGTGTTGCTGGTAGTGATCCGCTGACCAACGATGATGCGCGGGACGTAATAACACCGTGCGAATTTGTTGACCGCAAGGCCATTTTGCCAAACCACCGCGACAAGCGTTTCTGCGTTGTCTGTTTGTACGAGCTTTCTCTCCGCACAGACTCTGCACTGCATCACGCACAACTTCAACCTGTGTTGCGCGCCGTAAGGCGACGCCACCCGCCAAGCAGCGCCGTACCAGTCGAGTGGCCGTGCGAGTTCCACGAGTTCTACCTGCAGCACGGCGTCTTCCAGACCAACGGCAGGCAGACCAAAAAGTCAACCTTGGACAAGCTCAAGACCAGCATGGTCGGCCCGGCGGCGCAGATCTGGAAGCGAAAGCGACCCAATGCGAACCAACCCCGCAACCACGTACTACTAAACCAGTGACGTAGCCTCGTCTCGACTTGACGAGCGTCGACGTGTGAGCCATACATACCTGTTGATGATTGGCTACATGCATGTGCACGTTGATTGGCCTTCCTCGAAGTATGACAAATTCGTTGTTGGAAAATCTGTCCCATCGCTAGAAAAGTCCTCAAGCGATTTACGGCCTTGTTATAACGCGCTGAGAAAAGGGTGGGCGAGCGCCTCCTGCGGGGAAATGCGCTGGCGCGGACACACGGTAAGCATGCGCTGGAGGAGGTCGACACCGTGTTGCCAGCGCTTGCTCTCGACGTTCATGCCGGGCGAGTCGCGCAGGCACTTGGCGAGATTCCCGGCCACGTACGTCTGGCGCAGTGCAATCTTGTCGGGGTGTCGGCCGGGCGCCGACATGAGGCCCGTCACGAGCCGGGGCTTGGCGCTCTCATCGACGCGGGACTTGAAGGCAAACCAGATAGGGACACCGGCGGCAATCTCGAGGAAGACGCTTCCGACCGACCACATATCGAAGGCATGCGGCGTGCAGTGGTCCTCAAAGTAGAGCTTGATGTGATTGGCGCTGTGCTTGGTGCGCAAGAGCTCGTGGATGTCGGGTGGGACATATCTACGGTGATAATCGTGAGTGTCGGCAAGACCATGGACATCTTGTCCATTGTTCTATCTGAACCATAACACTATATCGTACTCGGGTGTCGTCGCCGACGAGAGGCGCGGCGAGGCCGCGCGAAACGCCGCGCCAAAGTCGATGAGCTTCAAGTGGAGTTCGCGCTTTCCATTGGGCAGCAGCGTCGACGTGACAAGGATGTTGTCGGGCTTGATGTCGGCGTGGACGACGCCGAGCTCAGTGAGCGTCGCGACCGCCGAGATGAGCTGCCGCAGAAGCGTCTACAGCACCTTTATCCGACAATACTCTCCAAACGAGAAACATGTACACCTTGAGAAGCTGGATGTTTTCCTGCATGGCGACATACAGTGGTTTGTGCAGAATCTTGTAGACGCGCGAGCCTTGGTAGAAATCGCCTTTGATCTCAAACAGCATATTATGCAGCGTTTCGCCGCCTTGTTCAAAGAGGAGCCAGAGATCGTGCTTGGTTTCAATGACGCGGTACAGCTGCGCAATGCACTCGAGCTGCGGTCCCTTGGCCGAGGACGACGACGACGACGACGGCGGAAGTCGTTGCCGGAGCTTGTCGCCAACCACGTCGACGCCCGCAAACAAGGTCGTGCCGACTCGCGCCTCGGTAATCGCAGATGCCACGGCATTGCTCATGAGCGCCTCGTCTACGTCAAGTGAATATTGTCTTATAAACGATAGACAATGAAATCCACCTTTGGGGATCTGCTTAAGGGCGAAAGCCGCGCTCGTTTTGGCGTCAATCACTTGCCAGACGGTGCCAAAGCCACCAGCGCCAAGCTTCTTGATTTTGGTGTAGCCAGCCAGCCACCGGTCTTCCGGTGGACTCGGTGGTCGCTTCTACGCGCAGCCTGAAGCTTTACTACGATCGTGGGTAGAGCTACTTTGGTTGCGAGTTGTCGGAGCTGCTGCGGTGTCTGTCGGCGCGCCGACGAGACCGACTGCGGCCGCGGCTTGGCACCGGGTGGCACGTTCTACTAGTACATGGCATAGTTCTGGACGAGTTTTGCGAGAAAGGGATGGCGTACGAGGAGCGTTGACGCAAGCCGCAGCTCTGCGCTGGAGCACACTGTCTCCATCGAACGCGTAATAATAGCTAGCTCTGTTGGATCTTGGAAATAGAAATTCAGAGGCGGTTGCCATCCACTTAGCATCTCCGTTGCCAACCACGTCGCAAACTGCGCCGCCTCGTAGCCTCAGTGGCCTGAGCTCGTAGCCTTCGCTGCCTCTGACGGTGGTCCGAAGCCGAATGCTTGTTCTCGTCAGGCAGCGACGTCTGTGGGCCTGCCACGTCGGCCGTTTCTGGGGCCGTATCCGGATGCGTATCCGGTGCCAAGCCTCAAGTTTCTATTTCGACGTTGGGTTGTGAGCAGCAGCATGATGAACGCGGCGACGACGAGCATGGACGCGATCGCGGCCGTCCGCGGCTACGTCGAGAAGATCATCGCCGACGGGCAGCTCGATGGCATGAAGGCGCTCATCCTCGACGGCGAGACGACCAAGATCATCAGCATGGTGCTCAGCCAGTCGCAGATCCTCGAGAAGCAGGTGTTCCTCGTCGAGCAGCTCGGCGCCAAGACGCACGAGCGCATGGCGCACCTCAAGGCCGCGGTGCTACTGCGGCCAACGCTGCGCAACCTCGAGCTCCTCAAGCACGAGCTCAAGGCGCCCAAGTACGGCGAGTACCACATCTTCTTCACCAACATTACGTCAAGCGACGTCTTGGAGCGGCTCGCCGAGGCCGACGAGCACGAGGTCGTCCAGCAGGTGCACGAGTACTACGCCGACTACATGGCGATCAACGAGCACCTCTTCCACTTCAACCTTCACGGCGCCCTTGGTCTGAGCGTCAAGGGCGCCAACCTCGCCAACATGACGCCAAAGAACGCGGCCATCTACCAGCGCAGCGTCGACGGGCTCCTCGCGGTCCTCCTCTCGATGAAGAAGAAGCCGATCGTGCGTTTTGTCAAGCGCTCGGACGTGGCCGAGAAGCTCGCGCGCGACGTGGCCACGCGCATGCAGCACGAAGACGGGCTCTTTGACTTTCGCCAGCCCAGCGTCGCGCCCCTCTTGCTGATTCTGGACCGCAAAGACGACCCTGTGACGCCGCTCCTCTCGCAGTGGACGTACCAGGCCATGGTCCACGAGCTCCTCGGGCTGTTTGAGAACCGGGTCGACCTCGAGCGCGTGCCAGGAGTCCGCGACGACATGAAGCAGGTCGTACTGAGCGTGACCTCGGACGCATTCTTTGCGCAGCACGTGCACGCCAACTTTGGCGAGATCTGCATGGCGGTCAAGGACCTCGTCGACGCCTACAAGCGCAGCTCCAAGCAAAACGAAAACATCGAGTCGATCGAAGACATGCAGCGGTTCGTCGACAAGTACGCCGAGTTCCGCGCGCAGTCGGTGACGGTCTCCAAGCACGTGACGCTCATGGGCGAGCTCAACCGGCTCATCGAGGTGCAGGGCCTCATGGACGTGAGCACGCTCGAGCAAGACGTGGCCTGCAACGACGACGCGTCCGGCCATCTCCGCGAACTCACGCTGCGGCTGCGCAAAGCGGCGATCGCGCCGGCCAACAAACTCCGCCTCGCTCTGCTCTACGCGCTGCGGTACGAAAGCCCGTCGACGACCAAGGCCGTGCGGGACCTCCTCCTCGAGGCCAACGTGCCCACCGCCCAAGACGCGATCAGCAGCCTGCTCGCCTACGGTGGCGCGTCCGCTCGCACCGGCGACTTGTTTGGGGACAAGGGTCTCAAAAAGTTTATCAAAGCCATGGCGCAGGTCACCCAAGGTCTCCAAGGCGTCCAGTGCGTCCTCACGCAGCACGTGCCGCCGCTGCTCAAGATGCTCGAGAACCTCTTTGGGAAGGGCGTGCTCCCAGACGCCGAGTATGGTGGCTTCCAGCCGTCGCCGCCGCTGCCCAAGAAGCTCAAGGACGTGATCGTCTACGTCCACGGCGGCGTCACGTTTGAAGAGAGCTTGAAAGTGGCCGAGCTCAACACGAAACTCGCTGCGTCCGGTCAGCGCGTCCTCCTCGGCGGTCCCATGGTGCACAACTCGGAGAGCTTTCTCAAGGAGCTCCTCGAGTCGACCGAAGCGTCGTCAACTGCGACGTCGGTGACGCCGTCGTGGAAGTACGAAGGCAAGCATCTCTAATCTTCTTTTGGCATCGAACGATCCACTATTTCATGTCGACACGGCTGCAGTATTATCCGATGCTGTGTTGGATAGCTCGGATAGAGTTAAATCCATGGAAATGGATAGAAAGAAATAGGATACTACCGAGAAGAAACCCAAGTGGAGACGCCGATGTCCCGGCGTGGACGCCATCGGCATTTGCAACGGCGGGCGACGTCGTCGGTCCAGTCGCCCTCTACATCGCCGACGAGCGCATCGAGTTCCCACTGCCCGACGCCGTCGTCGCCAAGGATGCCACCTGCCACGCGACTAACGTCCGTACCGAGTTTGCCGGCGGCTGGGCTGCTCAAGGAGAAGGGCCCTTCTCGGTGCAGTTCTCGCACCTCGCCATCGACGTTGTTGGCAGGTCGTCTGCTGACGCGCAAGAGACCATTGAAAGCGTATGCTTGATACATTGACAGTATAGGTAAGAGTAAGCTTGATACATTGAAAGTAGACACGCAGATATCCAAGTACAGACAAGACGACGTCTTAGTTTTGGGTGCGCGCAAAGATCGAGCCGCGACGGAGCGCCGTGATGACTTCTTCGCGGTCGGCCGCCGGCAGCTCCGAGATGAGGTGGAGGATGCCGACGACGGCGGCGTTGGGGTCCTGGAGACCGAGGCGCGTGACCTCGCGCGCAATGCGTTCTTGGTGGAGCGTCTCGACCTTCTTGTGGATCCAGTCCGTGTCGCGGACGAGCCAGGACGCGACGACCTTGTCGTCCGACCACGACGCCCCACTGTTCTGGGCTTCAAACCACGCTTGGATCGTCGCTTCGGTCGCGCCAAAGCTGCTGCTGACCATCTCGGCGCTCGACGCGGCCTGGATCAGGCGGCGCACGCGGAACTCGGCGAGGCGGCGATTGAGGCGGTTGTAGAAGTACACGCGGGCAGTCTCCCACGCGACCACGTCGCGGATGACCTCCTTGGCCTTCATGCGACCCGGCGTGTCGTGGAGGTCGCCAAAGTGCGTTGCGATCTGCGTCAGAATCGGCAGCAACTTGGCTTCGCGGAGGCGAATGTCGCGGAGGAGGTCCGGACGCGCGCTCTCATCGGCGGCCGCGAGCGCCGCGTCAAGGCGCAGCAAGGTCGCGTCGACGCGGTGGGCAGTCGCGAGAAGCGCCGGCTTGCGGTACTTGATTTCGATCAAACCCGCGGGCTCAAGGACGCCACCGCGGCCTTGCGGGTCGGCGTACATCTCCATGACGTCGGCGTTGATCGTCGGGTCGACAACGACCCACGCGCCACCGCGGAGCTCGGCGAACGGCGGGATGTACACAAACACCGGCTGCTTGTAGTGGACGAGCCCGTCGACGATCTCGGCGCCAAACTTGAGCACTTCGTCAAACATGTCGCGCTGGCCGCCCGAGAAGCCGCGCCAATTCGCCAAAATGAAGAGCGGGAGGTCTTCGCCGTTGAAGTCGCGGATCGCGGTCGCCGTCTTGTGCGCCGAGTCGGGGAACCAGACTTGGCCGGCCTGCTGGACCGTCGCCTCTTGCGTCGTCGGCGCGGCCGGGTCGGCCGGCGTCACCTTCTCCACCGTGCGGACTTCGGTGACCACGACACCGACGGGAATACCACCGAGGCGGCCGCGACCGACAACGACCGTCTTGGCCCACGCCGCAAGCGTCTCGACAAACGAGCCCTTGTCGAGGAATCCAGAGACCCACGCGGCGTCCACCACCTTGCCCGTGAGCAGCTCGCGCGGGTCGTACGCCACGCGCGTCGGCGTGAACGCGATCGGGCGATCAATCACATCAATGCCCGCAATGTCGCGCACCGGGAGCGGGCCGCCGCGCACCGAGGGCACAAAGCTGAGCCAGTTGAGGATCGAAGCGATGCCGTGGATGTGGTTGGCGCTCGTGAGGTGCGTCACGCCGTTGTTGTGCATGATCTTGACGCCGCCGAGCTGGTCGTTGGACGTGTACACGTCCTTGCCCATGAGCTTGTTGAGCGCTTGGAAACCCGTGAGGATGATGGGCGCACTCGAGACGTTCTGCACCGTGCGCTGGCCGAGACGCACGAGGTACGCGCCAATGCCGACGCTGCGACCGCACACGTACGTGAGCGTGAAGATGTCTTCGTACGCGCGCGACGACTCGCCGGCGATGCAGCCCGAGCCCTTGAGGTTCTCGACACCGAGGTCCTTCTCCTCACCGATAATGTCGGTGAGGACATACCGGACTTGGCCGTCCGGCAGCGTCTTGGCCGTCGCGTGGACCGCGTTCACGCTGCTAAAGTAGGCATAGTCCTCCGGCGTGAGGTAGAGGTACTCAAAGCCCTTGCTCGGGTCCGCCGCGTCCTTCCAGCACACTTGGTACTTGGCCTTGATCGACTCGGCCATGCCAATGCGCGCGCCCGAGTTGGCCGCAAAGTACAGCCGCGGCAAGCCGTGCGCGCGCGCGTACTTGGAGGCGAGGTCAAAGAGCTTGTCTTCGCGCGTGCCAAACGACCCGGCGTTGAACGTAATGTCGTTGGCGATCAGCACGAGCTTGCGCCCGGCGGGCACCTCGGGCGTCGCCAGCGTGAGCACCCACGCGACCATGCCAACGTCGTTGAGACCGCGCGGCCGCTGCACCAGTTCGACCGCTTCGTCGTTGCTGGTCAAGACAAACTCGTGCACGTCGAGGAGGCGGCTCGGGATCTTGGTGGGCACACGGGCCTTGGCGCGGTCGCTCGCGTACTTGCGCCACACGCGGCCGAGCGCATGTTCGATGAGCTCCAAGAAGTCGTAGGCGTAGATCGTGTCGCTCGAGCGCTTGGCGGCTTCGCGCTTGGCGTCAAACGCGTACGTGACCGGGTATGGCGTCGAGACTGGGAGCCCGTCGAGCTCGCCGACCACATCGTCGCCGATGCTCGAGAAGATGTTGACCTCCGAGCCGTTCTGCATCTCTTGCGCTTCGACGTACGCCTCGACGCGGAGCACGTAGCCGGTCGGGTTGGACGCCACAAGTCGCACAGGGATCGAGTACGCGTTGTCGTTGAACTTGGCGCCGATCTTGAGCTCGACCTGCGACACCTTGAGCTGCGCGAGGCGGTCCGCATACCGCGACGCCAAGATGCGAATGACGGCCTCGAGGTACTGCGGGTCGACGACGGCTTCCGGCGCAACGTTCATAAAGACGTGGTTGTTCTTGATCGGCAGCGACGGGTCGGCCACGTTGGCGCCCATCGCAAGCTCGAGCGCGTTCAGCGCGTCAACGAGCGTGCGCTCCGGGCCCGGGTGCGCATCGAACGACGACGAGAGCGAGTCGTCGAGGCGCTCGAGCTGGCGCACGACCGCACGCACAAAGAAGCGCTGGAAGACGTCCTTCTTGGTGGCCTTGGCCGCCGACAGCGCGCTGCTCTTGGGCGTTGAGAGGTATAGATGCACGTTCTTGTCCTTCGAGTCGACAGTCACCACGTTGTAGTTGCCGAGGCGCGGCAGCTCGAGCATGTACGCGAGCGGCGCTTCCATGTGGCGGACGATCGCGTCTTCCTCGTAGTTCATGTTTTGGCGGAACGTGTAGATGCCCGGGTAGAGATGGTACGTCGAGGTCGCATCCAGCGTCGCGTTGACCGCCGGCTTGACGGCAAACGTGATGCGGCGGACAAGGCGCGACGCGAGCGTGTCCTTGATCTTGCGCACGGCGCGCTGGAGGGCCGCCAGCGCCTCGTCTTCCGAGTGCTCGTGCGTGAGGAGGATCACGTGGAGGACGTGGACGTAGTCGCCGCCCTTGAGCCCCGCGAGCGCATTCCGCGGCGGCACCATGCCAAGGAGCGACTCGACGTTGGCTTCAAACGCCGCGAGCGTCTCGAACGCCGCAAGGAGACCGTGACGCTGCACCGTCGACGGAATCGAGCGGCCAATCGACTTGGAAAGCGACGAGTCCGAGTCCGAGCCGGTCGACTCGGAGCGCGTGAGCGACACGAGGTTCGTGCTCGACGAGCCCTTCTTGAGCAAGCTCGCGAGGTCGTTGTACGAGTCGGCCTTGGACATGGAGCCCTTCATCGCGAGCGCCTGGTCGGCCGGCGACTTGAACTCAAACTTGGTCGCGAGCAGCGACGGTGTGTCATGGAGCTCCATCTTGGCAATGTCGTACGACCGGTAGATGCGGCGAATGTACAAGTTGAGCGCAACTTCGCGGACTCGCGCTTCCTTGTGGTGCAAAAGCGAGATCAGCAAGTCGAAGATCGGCTGCGGCTGGTCGAGGAGCGACACGAACGCCGGCGTCTCGTGGTCGGGCGTCGGCGCGGCCACAATCGCCTTGAGCAGCGTCTCCATCTCGAGCAGCCGGTCCGAATACGACGGCATCTTGCGGTCGACGAGGATCCGGCGCGCTTCCAACGCCACGAGCGAGTAGTGGCGGCCGCGGAAGTTGGCGATCGCCTCCAGCATGGGCACATACGACGCATGCGAGTCCTTGGCGCCTTCGTGAATGTGCTGCAGAATGTCGAGGAGGCAGCGCGACCGGCGGTCGATCGCGAGGTGCGCGCGGGCAATGCCAAACACGGACCCGAGGTTGTCCATGTGCGCCTTGCGGAGCGCCATGACAATGTCTTCCATGTTGCCGGCGCTCGCGTACGCCGACTCGACCGTAAAGTACTT